GCGCCCGCGCCCGCTGGTGCCCCGATCCGGAGGCGCACGCGCAGTTCGTCCCTTCGCCGTCCGCTCGGGCCTGCCGTGGAAATGGAGGAGGAAGATCCCGCCGCGGCCCGTCCTTGTTCCGACGCAACGCGCAGGCGCAAAGTCCTGGCGGTGCTAGGCCGCTTCACTTCCTTGTCGGGCGGGTGGCCGGAGCCGTGAGTTCGAATCCCGGCGGGAACAATGGCGAGGGTCCTTTAAGTGCAGTGCAGGAAGGGATCCTAGGGATCATCGAGTCCACCCCTGTGTTTAGGTCGCCTATCGAGGCCGGCTGCCTGCCCTTATTTTGGAGGCTCCTGGAGCAGAGAAAGAAAGAAAGAAAGAAAGAAAGAAAGAAAGAAAGAAAGAAAGAAAGAAAGAAAGAAAGAAAGAAAGAAAGAAAGGGCACCGGAGGGTAAGGAAATTAGAACCATTATTGGATAGGATATTCAGATATTGCCAAGTATTGCCCTCCTGAATATAATTAGCAATGATATTTTGGAAAAAGACCAGAACGTTGGTTGTTATAATGCTTACGGTAGCAAGATTAATATTTGCAAAGCCCTGGAAAAGCGACAAACAAACTAATCTGGAAGACTGGCATAAAGAAATGTGGCGCTTAGCAATTAACGATAAATTGACATGAGAAATGAAAAGAGGAAGAGGAACGGTAAAGTCTCACGATTTCAAAGGTGTATGGAGTTTGTACTTGGAGCATGTTTTATCGAAGGGGAAAGGTGACAGGCCAGCAAAAAATAAATAATCAATGTACAGTATTTTTGGAGAAGTACAGGGTGGAAAGGGATGTATCGTGTTTTTCCGTCTACGTATAAGATGTGCCCACCCCCACTTTTCTAACCCAAAACTTCTTTCCTTGCAAGAAAAAGGGGGAAAGCAGGAATCCTCAAAGCGCCTTGATCCCTCCCCCTCCTCACTTCCATGTACAGTATAAGAAGACCCTCGATTTTTAATCTAAGTATTTTAGACAAAAGTATCTTCTTATAGTGCACAGAAAAATATGGTAAATTGATATTGCTGGTCATCTAGTTCCAAGCGTGAAGGTGGCGGGGGGGATGTATATTGTGTGTTGCTACTACCAAGTTTGTATTTTATTTTTACTTCTGTTATTTGTATATTTTTTATTAATTAAAATAAATAAATAAAAACCCTTTTCTTTGGTGGGGCGGGTTGTAGAGATCTTGAACTCTGGACCCCCTTCTTCCCCTTGTGGCAGGGTGTTCCACAGGTGCAAGGACAGTGCTGTGTTCCTCTTCTCCCCCTGCCCTCCCCCCCCCCAAATTGCCCCTGAACTGGGAGTGTGTTAATCTTGCTGCTTAAGAAGGGGCTCTGGTGCAGTTTCGTTTTGGATGGTCTCATTGTAGTTGGGTTTTCACAGTAAAGAAAGTTCATTGCCATGTTCTGTGTAGTAGTACTAACAATAACAAGCGTTAGCTTGAGCGTCCCTGTTACTGTCTGTAAAACAAATCAACTGCCAGCGACTCCTTCAGCTGCCTCTGCTACCGAGTTTCTCCACCACCAATCACCCTTGGGCCTGTTCCTTCTCTTCTGCTGAGCGGGCCCTTACTCACGTACCTTACTCCAGTATGGCGTCAGGCCTCCTGCTGGCATTGCCCTTGATTTTTCTGACACACTCAAGCCTTGACACCCCATTAAGGTAGGCATCCTAGAGGTTGCGATGCACAGGCTTGAAAGCTGAACAGCGAAGAAAGCTGATGGGAGGAAAACTGTTTCAATTCAAATACGGTGACGGAGGAGAGCTTTGGACCTTGAGAAAGGCAAACAAGAGGATCCTGGATCAAATCAAGGCTGAACTTTCTCTGGAGGCACACGTGACCATAACGCTGGCAAAAGGAGGGGAAAGCGGCAGGAAGACCACCTAACAAGATGGATGGACTCCCTAAAACTCCTTGGGTTTGCAGCAGCCGAGCAGGACAGGACGTGTTGCAGATCACCCATTAATGTGCGATGCGGCCAGCCATAGGTTGGAAGGGACTTGGGGGCTTCGTTTTGGATGGTCTCATTGTAGTTGGGTTTTCACAGTAAAGAAAGTTCATTGCCATGTTCTGTGTAGTAGTACTAACAATAACAAGCGTTAGCTTGAGCGTCCCTGTTACTGTCTGTAAAACAAATCAACTGCCAGCGACTCCTTCAGCTGCCTCTGCTACCGAGTTTCTCCACCACCAATCACCCTTGGGCCTGTTCCTTCTCTTCTGCTGAGCGGGCCCTTACTCACGTACCTTACTCCAGTATGGCGTCAGGCCTCCTGCTGGCATTGCCCTTGATTTTTCTGACACACTCAAGCCTTGACACCCCATTAAGGTAGGCATCCTAGAGGTTGCGATGCACAGGCTTGAAAGCATTTCGAAAATCCCTCACTCAACAGGGGTGGAGGCCTTAGATACCGTCTGTCTCCTATTTATCACACTGCACTTTCACCCATCCCCAGAAAAAAAAAGGATCACACACACCAGAAAATTAGTGACTGTTCGCAACCCATGGCAGTGGGTGGAGAAGGTCTGCAGAAGTGAGGTTATCCCTCAAGCCCCTCTTCCATTGTCCATCGAAGGAGCAAGGAGCCTTTTCAGACCTTGGCGGGGGGGGGGAGTGAAACCAAGACATCCGGGCTCTCCTGCCAACTCTCCTCAGATGGAAATGCCTGATAGGAAAGAAGTCCAGTGGCCGTGACTCCACTTCCAGGTAACCTCACCGGGAGGACTGAGAATCTTCACAGGGAAGCCTGGGGAAGGGGCCATGGGAAAGGGTGCGCTTCGCCCCAGAGAGTTCTGGCTCCTTGACGCCACTGGCAAGGGAAGCGGCGACTGCCACCTCTGGGAGAGCAGCGCTGCAGTGGCTCCACCTGGCCCTTGCCGGCTCTCTTGAGCCCAGACGGAGGACTCCCCCAGGGGCCTGGTGCAGGGTCTGCAGAGGGAAGCAGGGGAAGCTGGCTGGAGGGCGCGAGAAGGCCAGCCTGGTTGGGGGGGGCAAGGTGCCCAAGTCCCCCATCCCAACCCAGTGCAATGCAGATGCCCTGGAATGGGGGTGTCGCTGTGCACACACAACGGGGGGGGGGCGGAGGCTCCCCAGCAAGGAGCCACAGGCTGCCTGCAGAAGTGCAACCTTGTGCGGCCACGAATGCTCGGTCCCAGCTAGCCCGGGCAGCTCCTCCTGCCCAAGGTCCCTGCTGCCTGCTCTTAAAGGCTGGGACGGCTTGCCTGGCCCGGGGGGGGGGAGGCAGGGGGCCAGGCAGACCGGAGGAATCTTCGGAGTCCCCAGAAGAGAGGGGGACGCAAGGAAGAGGTGGAGAGCCTTGGCTAGTGGCAGAGCTGCCCACCCCAAAGGGGGGTTTCTTGGGGAAGGGGTCGATCCCTGGCCCCTTCACACCCACCCCACCCTGATGTGGCACGGGTCCGATACAGAGTGCTCCACCTCGCGTGCTCTGCGTCTGCACGCTGCCACCTCTGTGCCCCCGGTTTGGTTTCCTTTTGAACAAGGCCACCCAGGGAGACGAGAGATGCTGCGCTCTCTTCCTCGTGGGAGCAAGAGAGCCAGCGGTGAGTCATTTCGCTGCAGCTATTTTGCTTCCCAAAGACTCGCGTCCAGTCCTCCAGCAGTGGCCTGTCCCTGCCTTGCTGAGATCCTCTGGGCATCCTGCCGGGCCCCGCAGAGAAACACCCAAGGACAGCTGCCAGCGATTTGGGCTCGGCCGCCCCAAAGACTCAGGCTTGCCCTGGACTTCCCCGGGGCAGTGGCCTGGAAAGCTAAGCCTTACCCAGCCAAGGTGTGGCAGCAAGCCGTCATCGGCCCCCCTCCCTGGATGGGAGCCAGGGCCAATGGGGTGGGATGTGGGGCTTTTGTTAGTCCAGGGGCAAGGGGGCTGGGTGGGAGAGGAGGCGAGTGTCACATAAGACCCGACCCCTGGAATTCTCCGTGGGGGGCCGTTTGCTCAGCAGAGGCCCCACTTGCATGAAAAGGGCCCGGCGGGCCCCTCGGGGGAAGAGCTGCAGCCCTCAGCCGTCCGGCTTGGCTCCCCTGGCAGTCGGCTGCCCGGCATCCGCAGCGGGAGAGGAAGGGGGTTTAGGGCTTCCTGGCCGTTTGGCCTCCGAAAGGGGATCCCGACCGAACGGTGCTGCCGGCAGGACCTGCAGCGAGAGGTTTTTAAGCATTTCAGAGCAGGTGGCGCCATCCGTCTGCTGATGGGCTGCTCCCCGTCCTCCTTCCCCCCCTTGCCTCCTTGCCCCTAATTAGAGGGCAGTGGGGAGCTAAATTAAGAGACAGCTGATGGGGGTGTGGGGGCTGGAAAGGGAAATGTTTGGGCCTCACGAGACAAGCACTTGGCCGCCCTTCCCTGCACGCTGAGGATGGGTTGAAATCTAGGCTAAATGTATTTTACTTGGAAAGTGGATTAAGAGTCATCAAACCGCTTTCTGCCACCTGCAGGCACACGGCGCCCATGCACAGACTCTGCTCATCCTGGTGAGACTGTCTGCTCCCGACCCCCAGAGCCCCCCAGCATGCATACATCAACCCATGCCACAGGGGCTGGGGGAGCTTCCTTTACTCCTCCGTCCACTTTGCTGAGGCCCCGGGAGAACCCCCTGTAGCCCCAGGGCCATCCGGGGGGGGCAGCGGATGCTGGCCAGGGAGGCCCAGCCAATTCCCAGCATCCCGCCGGGCTTCTGCCAGGGCCTCGGCAGATGGGATGACCTCCCGGCAGGGTCATGGTGCTGGACGGATGGACCACACAGTCACAATGGACCATGTCATCCCAGGGTTGTGGGGAGGATCTGAGCTTGGCTTGTTCGTGTTGCCGCCGCTTGGGAAGCTTATTGGCCCCCACGCAGCTAGCTTTGATGAATTTTTGTTGATCTTTGTGACTTCACATGTTGATGGCCTCCTGTAATTTCTGACAAATCCCGTGACGTCTGTTTTGGAAAACTGTTCCTCTGTGATTAATGCTTTGCCTTGGTTATTGCAAAAAGTCACGAAAATATGCAGAAGAGTTCAACCTCTTTTATTTGGATTTTATTTGGCTCCATGTTGTGTGGAACACACACAGAGGAATCGAGGGGTTGTGGTCTGGTTCTTAGGCAGATTATAAAAGCTTCGCGTATTTTAAAAAGGCAAAATAAAGTGAAACATCACAGGAAGATCTGAACAC